GGGAGTAATAAGTAAAGTAATATATATAACTTTTTAACTGAGGAACAAGTAATATTTTGAATGTTTTGAGTATCTGTCCCAACACTTTTAATCCAAATTTGAATATTGTTTGAATTAAACGAACCATCTTTATATATTTAAAGAAGTAAATCACTCAATCTTTATTTTTAATTGCAGAAATTTCTAATTATTTTGTAATATTGTTATAATGTGATATTTTGAATAGTGATACAACTGTATATAAATGCAGAATTATGCATATATATAATAAATAGCATTATATATAAATAAGAAATATGTATATAATAAATAGCATTCACATGTTTTATTTATTGTTGAAGAATGAGGGAAGGAAAAGAATAAATGAAAGAAATGAAAAGACAGGAAGTGCTGAAGTGGAAGTGAAAGTGAACTCTGATGACAGGGCATCAAACCTACGAGACCAGACTGGTTCTGTTCTGTTCAGTTATCACGTTACTGTGACTGGTTAGTAAATTCAGCTGATCTGGTTTTGTGGCTCTGAGGTCACGAGACTGAAACCTCCAACTACAGGAAAACCTGTGAGGACAACAATCTGTGTCGGGGCACGAATGAGGTCCCACATTTTACACTTTTTTTTTCACAGTTCAGGTCTCACCAAATAAACATACTAACATTTGTGCAGTGAGATAATATAAATGTGTATATTAGGTGCTGATATTTGGAGAAAATAATTTGTTTTTTGCTGTTTTTTATTTTGAAATAAAACCACTAACACTTCATTTAACTGCTGTTTGCTGTAGTAATGTTTGCACTGCCCCCCCCCCCCCTTATGGTTAAAACATAATTTGAAAGTGTTCACAGGGAACTGGTTGGTCTCCTATTAGAGCATTTATTTATCTTATAATAATATCAATCAAATCAATCAAATTCAATCAAACTTTCTCTGGTGGGGCGCGGGGGGCGGCGGCGGGCGAGGGCGGGGCCGCGGGGGGCGGGCCCGGGCGGGGCGGCTCGGGGCGCGGGGGCGGGCGGGGGCGGGGGGGGCGCGGGGCGCGGCGGGGGGGGGCGCGGGCGGGGGGCGCGGGGGCGGGGGGGGGGCCGGGGCGGGGGGGTGGCGGGGGGGCGGGCGGCGGGGGGCGGGGGGCTGTGGGGCGGGGCGGGGGGGCGCCGGGGCGGGGCGGGGCGCGGGCGGGTGGGCGGGGGGCGGGCCGGGGGCGGGGCGCGGGGCGGGCGGGGCGGCGCGGCGGGCGGGCGGGCGGGGCGGGGGGCGGGGGGGGGCGGGCGGGGGGGGGCGGGGGGGGGGGCGCGACATTTCATAAAGTTCAGTTTAGTCCAAAGAGCTTCACAGATGATTGACGATAATAAAACAGAATGGAGTAAAAATTAAAGTAGATTTTATTAAATTAGTAGTTGACTACTACTCGATTCTGATTGATTGAGCAAGAAATCCAACAGTCTATAATTTATTATCAGTAGATCGTATCACTATGGAACCGTTCTGATGATAAATCCGTGGGACTGACTGCTGTTCACATCTTTTAAGAGTTTTTAAAGAACAATAAAAAAAACTTCATTTCAAAGCAGTGTCATTATTTCAGTATTTTTTTATTAGTAATATTTTGTATCAGAGTTGGGGTTTTTTTTACCTTAGAGTTTAATTAAGTTGTTCACTGCAAAGAAAGAGACTGCATGCGTGTGCGGATGTACGAACAAAATATTCAAAACACAAAACAGAATGAAAACAGTGAAATTAACTGTTTCAGCTCGTCTGTTGGATCG